TAGATTTTTAGAGATTTACCAACTTCAAGCTTTTATTGGATAGGGAAAAAGAAGCCACAGTAGGTTCATGTCGATATTATGCATGTAGTGTGGTTTTGTTGTAGTTTTCGCGATTATCCAATCAATACATTCAAACCGATTTTTTATTTCGAGAAGTCGAAACAAATATCGAAAATATATTGATTGAAAAATCAAATCTCCTAATCATCCTTCCTTACTTCTAACACGTCCTACACTTAATTTTGATTTGTTTGAGTTTTTATCAAAAATAATGTCGAGAAAACCCTCCCCACTTTGTGAAGTGGGCGGGTTTTTTCTCTTCTATTGGTTATCCTAATAGAGCAGCCAATAGGAGCACATAAAGAGGGCTGAGCTGAGTTCTCCGAATCCTGTCGTCTGTGTCTTACATCTGAAAATTTTTTTGAGATAAAAGTCGGTTCATAGGCTACTTCAAGGTTTTATTTCCACGACTTGCTGAGATTCGGCTCAGCTCAGCTCAGCTCAACCCAGCATCTAAGTGAGAAAAGTTCACCGCATATACAGCGTATGGGTGTTGATTATAGGCAGCTGGCAGCCGGATGTGATATGACACTTGGAAATGGACAATTTGATTGGAATGCCAATGAGACGGAGATTCCGTACAATGTCGACCTTGCATGTGAATGCAAGCCCACATTGGTCTGGAACTGTTCAGTGGTGAGGATAATTGATTGAAGATAAAGTAAAAAATTCCGTGTTATTCATTTCAAAAGTATCTTTTCATATATCTCTAACTGGAGTACGGTAGCAAGTTGCTTGAATGATGAAGAATGGAGTTTCTTGGTGTTCAAGGAAGTGGGCTTAATATTCAAATACTCATTGTTCAGGAGGATTACCCGCTAGACGAGATTCCAACAGTCACACTCAACACAACAATGCACCTGTGGGATATGTCGTATCGGAACATTTCCCAGTTGAGAATGGCGACTCGATGGTGGGGTAATGGCACCATGCTTGATGTGTGAGTTT